CAACGGATGTTAGCTCAGGGTGAATATTCCTCAGGGGGAAAAAAAAACTGTTAATATATCTACAACTGTAATACCATGGGTTACCCCTTGTGATGGTTTCTTATAAGGAGTAAGCAATGGGGAGAATGTCCTTATGACTCTTAGGTATCTTGTTATGTTTTATCTTCTTACAGCAAAGCTTATAAACAAAAGCTTAATAAAAGTTCATATAGCTGAAAATAAAGCATTATAGTTTGGAAATACCACAACACCTAAAGAGATTTTCATCTGATCAGTGTTGGGGCAAAAAATTTATTTGGGACGTAGCAGTTCTTCAGCATCAATGCAGAGGTTGGGACCTGATGCACTGGGCCCTCTTCCCAATGCTTGCAATGCCGGATACCAGTAAACAGCTTCTCCTGCCTGACCCGTCAAGGTCATATCCTGTACCTAATATCCTGAAGGAAGAGTGAGAATGCTATCGTGTTGTTCACTAAAAGTTTTACCATCCCTCCTTGACTGTATGTTCTACTTAAGCAATTTGGAGTGGCCATTTTATATAAGCAAGATTTTTGCCCCCTGAGCTGACATTAGAAACTAACGATGACATTGTAATTATGGCATAAATTAAGGAATTTCTGAATGAATCATATAGTAGCCTCCAATCCGCCCACAGACACCATCATCATTCCTAGTTCCAGCCCTCTCTCCCCCAACTATGTCCCTCCTCCTCCAGCTACATCCTCCATGCCTCCACCCTGTCAGCTATAGCCATCTACTAAACTTCCACTCAACCCTCACATCTACTCAACCCATTTAGACTCTTATTTCACCCCCAACCTCCCTCCTGTCGCCTTTTTGACATCCATCCCTATGTGAGCAGTATTGCAAGGGCTCCAGTCTGGCCTTCCTCACTTCCCATCACTCCTGCCAACCACATCATCTGAGTTCTTCTTTTTCTTTCTCTATGTCCACTCCACTTCAAACATCTCAACCATTCCCTGAGTTGTGTACATCCCCTATCATTGAACATCCTAGGCTCAACTTTCAGGTATCCTCAACTCCTCCAGGAGCCCAATCCGCAGCCTGAACCCATTACACCCAACCATGTAGTCCCTTTCTCCTGGGCTCCTTGGCTCACATATGCCCACTACCCCTCCCAGATCCCTCATGTCTGGGACAATTTTGCCTCCCGTCTCATACTCATTATCTCCTCCAGGTTCCATCTCCTCTTCCCACACTCTAGATCTGTCTTGGACCACACTCTCTACTTCCAAGATCAGCCTACCCCACACATATTCCCATTCCTCCCCATCACCATATTTTTAATCCCTCAAGGACATTAAGTCTCCTGGGAGTTTTACCAACGACTGACCATTAATATTTTTATCCCAAATTCCCCATCCCTATTATCCTCCACACTCCCATGAAACCCATACCCCTATTTCCCCAGAACTCAATATGCTCATACCCTTAATGCCCTGCACACTTTGTCGCCTTGTACCCTCACACCCCACAATGCACTTTAACCTCTCCCTGACATTTGACACTCTTTTCTCTCTTATCCCTCTGCCCTCTCTCTTTCCCTGCATTCTCCATTCTCCCTTACCCCAGGCTTTCTTCTCTCTCATCTTTTCTGTATATCCCTTTCCTTGTGCCCCCTCTTCTCTAACCTTACCCTATCATACACCCATGAAATAATTGCCTAGTGAAACTGCATCAAATGTGGATTTGTTTATAGGGAAAACAAAAGGATCCATTTCAACTCCTAATTTATGTTTCTTAATTACCAAAGCAACCAATGCTCATCACTGAAAATCCAGCAGCAAAACAAAAATCTGTAGAGTACTGTGGAAACTATTTGATCTTGTTGAATTAAAACTTGAGCACTGGGTCACGTGATCGCTACAAGAATGGTAGAATTGGCTCACTGAACCATGTGATCTGGGTTCTTTTATTTGTGAGACACCCTTCTAGAACCTTCTTTCTTTCTTCTATGTATATTTTTCTGTCTGGAATTCTTATCATTAACGGACATCCATAAGGATAAAGTCTATTTTCCTACACAATTTCCATATTAATTGGCATTAAATTATGCAAATAGCCCAAATTAAATAACTGATTTGTGCCAGTGATTTCTCTAGTGAGTGATTTGTATCAAGTTCTTCCTTTCACTTGTACCCCATTGGAACTCCTTCCCAGGTACTTTGTCTCATTCTATTTCTGTGCTAATAACTGAAATGATGGTTCAGCCAAGTGAAATGAAGATTATGCAAGAAGTAGACATTTGGTAAAAGAACTTCTCAAGGCAGCAAAAAGCTCAGTGTGACACAGAGACTTGCAGCCAGTTCCTCATGTGTCAAGCATCAGCCTTTCCTGTTCTCCCCGATTTGAAACCTTGTCTGCATTCAGGGATAATAGAAAACAAAGAGACTCTCAAAAACACTCCTAGAGTTTCCCCTAGGAGCGCTAAGTAGAAAGTTGTAATTGTTTTTGGTAATTAACAACTTGGAGAAAAGTTTCCAGTAATGCTCACAGCTCCCACGCCTGCACTAACACCGCTGCTACAGATGAAATAATTGCAGTTCTGAAGGGAGGTGAGGTCACAGAGTCACAAACTTATATATCAGGGTCTGGCTGCCTCCCTCCCACACACGTCCTGGACATAGTGACCATCAAACTGAGCCCACTGTTCTGGCAGCAGGAAGATGTTGGGTGAGTAATTTCTATGTCAGTCTGGGAGGCAGAGTGTGTAAAAGAAAGGCATAACAAGAGTCTGGGTGAGTGATTGTATCAGAAAAAGGCAATTGTCTGTGTATTCACCTGATTCAGTGCCAATGCCATGTAGGAAGGTGGAAGAATTCTGAGGCATGAGTGAGCTAGTACAGAGAGATGAGGGTCCTAGACCATACCCCACTCCTTGATGGCTTCTAATGTAATTTAGTGTAATCCTCATTGACAATGATAGTTGTGGCTTAATCTGAGAGACAATGAAACCTAATTTTTAAAGTGCTTAAGGATGCAGTTATAAAAGCAATCTGCTGTTCAGTTTAACTTACAGGAATCATAGACTAAATTTCAGATTTTTACAGGCATACCTATAATACCTCCGTGTTTGTAATAAAGAGTAGAATGAATCACACAGGAATCATGCGATCCTGGGAAGAAAGTATCCCGAATAGTAATTGCTTGAACAGAAAGGTTGCAGCTGTCTGTCTCATGTTGTTTCCACTCATTTAAAAAATATTCCAGGGGACTGGCCTGGTGGTGTAGTGGTTAAGTTCATATGCTGTGCTTCAGTGGCCCGTGGTTCCTGGGTTTGGATCCTGGGCACAGACCAACGCACCACTCATCAAGCCATGCTGCGGCAGCATCCCATATACAAAAAAATAGAGGAAAATGAGCACAGCCTTTAGCTCAGGGACAATCTTCCTCAAACAAAAAGAGGAGAATTGGCCACACATGTCAGCTCAGATCCAATCTTCCTCACTGTAAAAAGAAAAAACCTAATATCAATCCAAAACTAGTATTTCAATGATACAATACACAGGAATGCATACATTGAAGATGCCATTTTGTATATATGTCTTGTATGTTAATATCATTTATAAATCTTAGTTCATGCCAATAGTTTTACTAAACTCAGGTCTTAGTAAATAGATAAGTATATCACCTGAAATTAATAATCCTTTATCTGCTGCCTCCCACTACTGTATCATGTGTTAGTGTTTTATGTCCCAAAGTGTATGGCATTACATGTGATTGTTCAGTAAGACCTGTGACTCGTACCATTATACTTGTGTTCTTGATGTAAAAGCAGATGAGTCTTTCTATGGCCACTCTAATGTCAAGCCATTCTTATATTTATTACATGTCACTTGTCATGGGGCAGGTTCCTACCGCATTCTGCTGCCAGCACTACATCAACTGTTACTAAGATGTCTAAAGCTTTACTCATAGTTGATATCGGCCTATGGAATAAATCTTTACAAATAAGTGGAATCTAGTTATGATGAAACTGTAAAACACCACCAGTCTAAAATTAAATGACAAGATGCCATATCCAAACTAAACACAGACCTGGATTATTTCATGAACACAGCTAACTGGCGTTTTAGCAGAGCATGGTAATTCAATGCACTATCACTGTTTCTTGCCCAACCTGTTTCAAAGTCCCCACTCTGCCATAAGCAGAAGATTGTGACAAATACTTAACCTCTCTGTGTGTACCTTCTCCTCATCTTTATAATTAAACTCACAGAAGTGCCTACCTCATAGATTTGGGAAGAATGAAGAACTATCCAGGTGTACTGCCTTCCCAGGAATGATTTCACATTATAAGTGCTTTTTCAGGGTTGTACATTCAACCCCTGGAAACCTCTTAGCAAAGGAAAAATATTAAGTAAATGTGTCAAGTGTCATCAACTAATTGCCCTATGGAACTAAAGGGTGGGTTTGGAAGCATTTAACTGCTTTTCCAAATAGTTTTTTTTTTTTCCTTTTTTCATGTTAAGGAGATGCAATAATCAACCACCCTGAACCAGACCAAGCCTCACCACAAGAGCTATGCCTATGACCTTTGCCTTACTTTTATGCTAAGATCCCTCCAGGAGGAGCTTAGGCCTTATTATCATAACCAGCAGTGTATGTGGAAGCGTATTTTCCAACTGGTGAGTCCACAAGCAAATATCCAACTCTCCCTTTTGAATATTCCCTCCCTATCCGAAACATAAGGTCCCTCCTTTCCTTTGTTCATGGACCCATGACTTTGGAAATGATTCCTCATGGTGTCCTATTTGCTGCAAATATACCTTACTTTGTGAGACAACTAGTTCTGGTGGAGAGTCTGATTTAACTCTCTAGGAGGTGACCCAACTTTGCTTTCCATAACATAAGTGGGAAGTAAAGTAGGTGGAGATTATTGGATTTCAGCTGGCAAGATCCATGTAGCCAATGCCTATTATTCCCATTCAGGAAACTCTAGCTCAGAAGACAAATATCACTGACTGGGCACTGACAGGATGGCCAACAGGGATTTGGCAATAGGAGTGATCTTCTTAACACAGACCGTGGTGGGGATCCTGGGCAATGTCTCTCTTCTTTGCCATTATATCATCCTTTACTTCACTGAGTCCAGGTTAAGGTGCACAGATTTGATTCTTAAGCACCTGATTGTAGCCAACTTCCTAGCCCTCTTCTGTAAAGGAGTCCCTCAGACAATGGCAGCATTTGGGTGGAAAAACTTCCTCAGTAATTTTGGATGCAAACTTTGTTTCTTTCTTCACAGGGTGGGGAGGGGAGTGTCCATTGGTAGCATCTGTGTCTTGAGTGTCTTCCAGGTGATCACGATCAGTCACAGGAACTCCAGGTGGGCAGAACTTAAAGTAAAAGCTCCCAACTACATTGTCCCCTCTATTTCCCTGTTTTGGATCCTGCAAGTGCTGGTAAATGTCATTTTTCCTATCTTTGTAACTGGCAAACTGAGCAACAAAAACATCACAAACCACAAAGATTTCCTATACTGTTCTTCTGTTGTTCATGACAAAACCAGTGACTCATTATATGCAGCATTGCTATCAGTCCCTGATGTTTTCTGTTTGGGGCTCATGCTTTGGGCCAGCAGCACCATGGTTTTCATCCTGTACAGGCACAAGCAGAGGGTCCAACACCTTCGTAGGGACAACATCTCCCGCAGATCCTCCCCTGAGTCCAGAGCTACCAAAACCATCCTTCTCCTGATGAGCACCTTTGCCTTTTTTTATGCAGTTGCCTGCATCTTTCAAGTTCCTTTGTCTGTTTTAAATAATCCTGACTGGCTCCTGGTGAACCTCACTGCAATCATGGCTGTGTATTTCCCAACAGTCAGCCCCTTTCTGCTCATGCATGGTGACTCCAGTGTATCCAGACCCTGCTTTGCCTGGATAAGGAATATAAAATCTCCTAATCTTATGAGAAATAGATAAACTACATGTATTTCCACAATGTGCATTGCCATTCATTAATTCCCCTTCAGAGTGCTAAATAAAATCTCAAGAGAATGGTAAACAGAACATGCTGATTGTCTTCTTTAAAATAAACAATGAATTGTAATAGTATTATAAGTAAATATAATTATTACGTAAATACATATGTGATTGAAGTTTTACTATTGCTTTCAGTGGAAGAGTTCAGAATTTATGCAATAATAAGCACCAGATCTTGAAACTATCCGGATATTATGGAGAAGTCTATGAGTGTGTAACTTTCAATCTGTTTCAATAAATTTCCCAGAAATAAACTAGGCATAGAATTTTAGGAAAATGTCCATGAAAATGGTTCAGCCTGTGGCAGATCTTTACTGAAACTGGAGAGAAGGAATCTTCTTAAGGAATACGGAATAGCCTGAGGTAGAGCTGGAGGGCAGTCTTTCGGGGATTAGAGCCTTTGAGTGCCTGTTAAGAGTTTTATACATACCATCCTTAGAGACCATAGTCATTTATTTGGAATATAATATTATGCATGGAGATTAGCATGCCCAAGTCATTTCCTTGCAGAAATGGCAAGATTAAAGTAGAATGGGGCAAAGGAGAACACAAAATATAAATATGCTTCAGTTGATGTCGAAGAACCATCAAGTGATTGCTGACAATTAGAAAGACATGTATCGTGATGTGTAGAAGGCTGATTTGCCTAGATTATGTTAAGACTACTTTGGCATGTTGGCAAGAAAGGGGTCTGGAGATTCATGCTCACGTCTCTACAGAAATGAAATTAGTTTATGGTAAAAAGTTTGATTCAGTTTGGAGCACTGTAGGGAGAGCCATTTGAAAGCAAAAGAAATGAATCTATTGTGTTTATGTAGAGTTTGTGGCTTTTGCATTTCCAAAGAGCAAACTGTATATTTCCTCCATTTTAGGAATGAGGGGACTGGAATTGGCCAGCCCAAGATATGTCTCTTTGGCATGATGATTATTTGAGGCTAGTTACTTTGCAGACAGGAAAACAACTGAAGAGTAGAATTTACTTACCCTTTGTTAGGAGACATTTACATTGTAAAAGAACTCTCCATCTGTAAAGATATCCCCCTCTATGTACCAGGAAGAAGGGGAGATGACCTTGTCTCTATAAACTCTTAATCAATGCCAAAGGCAAGTACTTAAATCTGCATTTTATTGTGCGTATCTGGTAACCTCCTGTAACTGACTTCCCTCCCCCTCCCAATGTTGGCATTTCTTTAAGGATTAAGCATCTTTCCTTAGGCTAGGAACTGATTGCTGCGCTCACCTGTGACCACCCATCTCGAGACAATAGACTTGCCTCCTGCTATGCCCTCCACCCTCCGGGATAGCAGACCACTACCTGCTGTGTCCATCAAGCGCTGTGCCACCAGGGCAATCTTGTGACTATTGTGGGAGGGACATTTCAATCATATATTAAATATCCTGTTTGGGGGTATATAACCATTCTGTGCACCCCACTTCTTCGGCGCCCTTTCTTCCTTCAGGAAGAAAGGCCCCGGGCCATGATCCTAATAAAGCTTTGTTTAATTTTCTCTTGCTATTCTGTCTCATGTGAATTTAATTCGTTCTCAGGCTGATGAACAGTGACTCCTTTGTATCCAGACTCTGCTTTGCCTGGATAAGGAATATAAGGTCCCCTTATCTTATGAGAAATATATAAATTGTACATGTTTCCACAATGTACAGTTGCCAATTCATTCCTTCCCCCTCAAAGTCTTAAATTAAATTGTGAACCACAAGAGAATGGTAAGCAAAACATGCTGAGTGTCTTCTTCAAAGTAAGCAATAAATCATGATAATATTGTGATGAAATATAATTGTTATGTAAATACCAATGTGATTGAAGTTTTCCTAATGCTTGTAGTAGAGGAGATCAGAATTTATGCAATAGTAAGCACCAGGTCTTGAAACTATCTGGATGTTATGGAGAAATCTTCGAGGGTGTGGCTTTCAAGCTATCACAAGAAATTTCACAGAAATGAACTAGGCATAGAATTTTAGGAATATCTACATGAAAATTGTCAGCATGTGGCAGATCATTACTGAAACTGAGGAAAAGTAATGTTCTTAGGGAATAAATAATAGCCTGGGGTAAAGTTGGAGGGTAAAGTCCTTCTCAGTGATTAGAGTCTTTGGTTGCCATGTAACAGTTTTTATATAACATCCTTAGAGAGACAGTAGTCATTTGTTTCAAGTATAATATTATGAGGGGAGATTACCATGTGGAAATCATTTTCATGCAGAAATGGCCAGATTAAAGTCGATTGGGGTGAAAGAGAGCAAAAACCAAATTTGCTTCAACTGATATTTAAAAATGATCAAGTGATTGTGGACAATTGAAAAAAAACTGGATTGGGATGTATAGAAGGCTGATTTTCCTGTTATGTTAAGATGACTTGGGTATGTTGGCAAGAAAGGGGATTGGAGGTGCATGCTAATGTCTCTGCAGTAACGAAATTAGTTTATGGTTGGAAGTTTCATTAAATTTGGAGCACTGTAGGGAAAGCCATTTGAAAGGGAAAAATATGAATCTATTCTATTTATGTAGAGTTTGTAGCTTTTGGGTTTCTAAATATCAAAGTGTATATTTCCTCAATTTTTGGAGTGGTGTTAATGCAGCTTGCTCTGTATTTACCTTATGAAGCTGATGCAAAGTATCGAGATCAGCAATTTGAAAATCAAAAGAATTATTTTGACAATGGATTTATATGTTGAATCTCGTGCAATAAATAAAGAGTGGACAGATTTTTGGGACCCCTGTCCCTGGTCTAACAGGCATATCTAGCAAGCAAACTGTACAGCCTTTAAAGCAGTAAAAAGAAAAAAAAAAAATCCATGCTGTACTGTGAAGAAGCCACGCAGGCCTTCTTCAGCCTTGCCAACTGACCTTGCAACAAAGTTAGATCAGCAAACCATTCAGACTTTATTTCTTTTATTGAGGGTAGTAAATTATATATTTTTCCATTAAACTAACAAATTTCAGTTTGTTCTGAAAATATGATATTATTCTTTGTTTCCATTTGCTCTCACCTCTCATTGCTCACCCAGATGAACATTCTCACTCCCTCGGATCTGTCTTTTTCATTAAGTGTCTGGGTAAACCTGTGTCTCAACGTGCCTACTACAGCGTTTAACAACTCCACAGCACCACGCAACTAAGGTCAGTCTTGGTATCAAAAATTTTCAATACATCTTTTTATACAATCAGTTATTCCCATATTTTAAATGGAAAGGTGCACCTTGTAGAGGGAAAATTCTCCATATGCCTCTCAAATATATACTTTTTTATATCTTGTATCAACTTATGTTCCGGACTACCTTGCACAGATTTTTCTGAGGTTTAAAACATTATTTTATTGATTATCTAGATGTAACAACATGGTGGAGAAAATAATATTGCAGATTAAACTTAAAAGTGTATTGTGTCTGTACCTCTTACATTGTGAATATCAAAAGAAACTGATGAAATATTCTTCCGAAAAACAAAAGCCATTATCCAATTCATCAGAAAAATTGCTAACATCATTGATGAATGAGAGACATTCTGGCATATGTCTTTATTGTTTCACTTACGTCCTACTCATTAAAATAAATGACAATATTAACCAACATTCATGTCAGAACTATACTCATTCATCAATGGCAAACATTATTGGCTGCAGTTGTAAGACTGCGCACAGGTCAATGAAATCATTCTGTGAAAATCAGTTGCCTACATGGAATTTAAAATAAAGAGTGTTTTATATTTTATTATTATTTGTAAATTGTGTGACTCACATCTTTTATATCCATAAAGTTTAAGAAACTTATGTAAAATATTTGCATACATCGTTTTTTTGTACTTGTTGGAGTGCCGGTCATTAATCATTTACCAGTAAACCACTGGGTAGTTTGGTCACTAATCATTGCCTCATTTAGCAATGATGACTCCCAAAAACCTTCCTTTAGAAATGGACCTGGGAGCATGAAAAACTCAAACATACTTTGCTTCCTTTTTTTTAAAAAAATTTATTTTATTGAAGTCATATTGGCTTATAACATTGTGTGAATTTCAGATGTACATTTTTATATATCATTTCTATATATCAGTAGAGACTGCATCGTGTTCACCACCAATAGTCTAATTTTTATCCCTCACCATACACATGTGCCCCTTTATCCCTTTGTCCTTCCACTCACCCCCTTCTCCTCTGGTAACCACTAATCTGTTCTACTTACCCATGTGTTTGTTTATCTTCCACATATGAATGAATTCATATGGTGTTTGTCTTTCTCTGTCTGGCTTATTTCAATTAACATAATACCATCAAGGTCCATCCATGTTGTCACAAATTGTATGATTTTGTCCATTTTATGCTGAGTAGTATTCCATTGTATATATATAGCACATTTTCTTTATGCATTCATCTGTAGATGGGTGCTTGGGTTGCTTCCACATCTTGGCTATTGTGAATAATGCTGTGATGAACATAGGGATGTGTTAATCTCTTTGAATTGTTGATTTCATGTTCTTTGGATAAATACTCAGTAGTGGGATAGCAGGAACATATAGTATTCTTATTTTTAATTTTTTGAGATATCTGCATACTATTTTCCATATTGGCTGCATCTGTTTGCATTCCCACCAGCAATATATGAGGGTTCCCATTTCTCCACATCCTCTCCAACATTTGTTATTCTTGTCTTGTTAACTATAGCCATTCTGATGGGTAAAAGGTGATATTCATTGTAGTTTTGATTGGCATTTCCCTCATAATCAGTGATGTTGAACATCCTTTCCTATGCCTGTTGGCTATCTGTATATCTTCTTTGGAAAAATATCTGTTCAGATCCTCTGCCTATTTTTTGGTCAGGTTGTTTGTTTCATTGTTGTTCAGTTGTATGCATTCTTTAGATATTTTGGAAATTAACCCCTTGTCAGATATATGATTTGCAAATATTTTCTCCTCGTTGCTGGGTTGTCT